CGTAGAGATATTTTCGTCCCCATGTATGAGAACAGCTTTCTGAACTTCCCTTACGTGCAAGGCCATTTGTTCTACGTACCTTTCACGCTTTGAAAAGACTAGCCTTCAAACTTCGATCAACTTTCTCTTCCTTGCCAAAGGTCTGTGTGTTGCGGCGAGAGGCGGGGACCACATTTCGAGCTAGCTCCCAAGTTCCGTAGACCGACGATAATGGTGATGATGATAATTCGCGGCTATTTCCTTGTAATGTTCGGTTTGGTTGCGAGCACTATCAAACGCCCTGCAGTAACACGCGAATGCAATGGCCTGAAGAGCGTAGCCAGCGCGAGAAGAATCTCTGAGGCCATGCAGCCATACACTGAGAAAGCTACGCGATGCTCACGCCTCCCCCTTCTAGCCAGGACATCCAAGCAGCAAGTGTCTCGGGGTTCCGCAGAACGCCTGTTCACGTCGAAAAGCAGAGTTTTTTTTTAATCATCGCGTTGAGCTTTTTATTTTGGCGTTGCTTATGTTTCTCTTTCTTAAAAAAAGTATATCGCTGAGTTAACAGTCGCAACAAAAACATGCTGTGCATGCCTGATTCGACTTTGCGGCGGCAATCGCAATAAATATGAGCTAAATAAGCAATCGCAATATATGTAAGTTGGCTGGGTTTAATCCCCGCCAGTCAACGTTACTAGAACCCCTCGAGAACCGAGGTAATGGCGATCGCAACGCCGCCATTTCTTCCGCAGCGTCCACTCCAAGAACTGCACGTCGAGTCGGGCAGGGGCCGGTGGCGCCATCTCGCAGGGCCATCTCGCAGTAGCTATGTAAAGTAACTTTTTTGTTTCAACTCGTCACTAAAGGGTGGCGCTGTTATCGTATTTAGCTCGGTCTCAGTGGACGCAGCGGCCCAGGTTTCAAGGGTGAGTTTCCCAACGGAGGTTTTTAGTAACGTTGCCGCCAGCGCTTGTACTTTTTATAATTTTTTTTCTTTGCATGAATGGAAGGTTTCAGATGACTCGAGAATCTTGTTTTTTTTTTTTCGAGCTAAGAAACTTTTTGATACCCACGAACTTGGCATCAAAAGCTTCGCATGGCTGCTTCAGTCAGTCGTCCTTCCGTCGCCGTCAAAGTACAGGGTGTCCCCGGAAAAAATTTGCAGAGATGTTTCAACGCAAAAATGAACTACGCATCGACGAACGCACATTTTGTGCCCAAAAGTAGCGCTAGAGGTTCGAACCAGATGCCAAAGTTTCAGCCCGAACCATTATTTTATTAAAAAGTTATAAGCGATCTTTTTTTGTGGAAAATTTCAATGGGAAAGTGGTGACCGACGGAGCTCTCGAATACACGGAGCTGTATGGCACCAGAAACCGAAAACAGGCGAAAATAGGCCCCATTTTCCCATGCAAATTTTCAGAAAATCATTTATAACTTCTGAATGAAATATCGGTTCCCGCTGTGTTTCATTGTTGTATGCACGGTCTTTGTAACTTATGTTTCTCGGCACAAGTTCGCCGCAATAAATGTTATTTTTAAGTTTTATTATTGAAGTTAATGTTTTCATTCATGACGATATTTCGAGTCTCGTGCCGTCATCACAGGTGACCGGAGACAAAACGAAAGAAGGAAACCTCCAAGAAATTGGTAGACGCTGCACGGCCAGTCCTTGATAGAGATCACTACACAAGCTTCGCTTCAGGGTCGCGACCCTTGACCCATCTTGTGGCTTAGAAAATGATCGTTACCATTAATCCGAAGCTTAATTTGCGATCGTAGAAAAAGGTGTTTCGTCCTGCAGAAATTCTAAATGGAAACCATAAGAGAGCAAAACTATGTCGCATACGTAAAGGTCAGGAAGTCGCATTTTTGAATCTATCTCAATAGCCTCCTCTATACTCACAAAACCTGGCAGTTCGACGACGGAGTCATTATACAGTGCCCGGTCGCAGATTTGGAGCGCGAGATACTGGTAGCACAGATCATTTCTCGGGGATACTGTAGTTAGCGCACAGCTTTTGCAGCGGCGAGGACCCGAAACATGGTTTTCAAACCATGGCCTCTGAGATCCCGAAGCGCGCGCGCTTCGGGATTTTGGAGACTATGTTCAAACCCGACGAGAAAAAAAACGGTAGCGCGAGGAACGCGAGGAGCACGAGCGGACATTTCATAGCTCGGGACAAGTGTGTTTCGGCGTCTCGCCGCAGCGGGGCGCCCGTTACATGCCTCCCCTCTCATCCGTTTTCTGCCGCTCAACCTTTTAACTTTCGGCGGCCGCGTCTCGTGGCGATCTGCCAGGCTTTGTCGGTATAGAGGAGGCTATGCTCTCCCCCATTGCGCTTGCTCTACCCCAAGTACCAAAATGGCGGTGCTCACAAGAATATCAGGGAACGGAGTGCCGCTACTCTAAGCTTGGAATATTTAGTGGTTGCAGTCCTTGACAGACAGATTTACTCGTGAGGGACAAAAACGAATTAAGACCGAGAAGCAGCAAACATACGTTTCGTAATCATTTTGTCCTTGCGCATGACGTTATCGTTGGTGTGTCCCCGACCCGCCCCAAGCGGCAGACACACCAACTCATTGCAGGCCTTGTCTTCTCGGAGGTATTCGTCATCTTACCGCAAAACTATGAACATATGTATAAACGAAACCGCCTATCTGTTCTCGGTATCTATTAAATTTAGTAGGGATGAAAAAAAGAGCTTTCTTAAATAACCGTTCCATGCTTCTCCTCGATCGTTTCGCTTTTCGCCCTCTCGACTCTGTCGCATCTGTCCGTCTTGACTGGAGCGGAGGAGTTGCCGACCGGGCTCGACGCCCTCCACGGTTTTCACGTCCTACATTGTCTTTCTCGGCCGTCTAGAGAGAGAGAGAGAGAGAGAGAGAGAAGGCCATGGAGTGCGTGAGGTTCGATGAAGGCGAATGAGCGAGGATCCCTGAAAGGGAAGTGAATAGAGGCGGATATTTTTGTCTGCTCGCTGATTCACTGAAAAATCGGCAGTGAAAAAAGAGAGAAAGAGTTTGTAAAAAAAAAAGGAATAAAAAAAAAAGTCAAACCGAATACGTTTTTGTGATGAAATAAAAAGTAATGCAAGTACTTGAATTCTGACGGTGTTTATTTATTTATTTATTTATTTATTATACCCTCAGGGCCGAAGCATTACAGAGGGGGTGGGCAACGGAAGTACAAAAAACGCTGAAAATGGTTAGTCCGGCACAGATCATGAATAGTAACTTGTTAAAGCTTCTTTAAAGAGGACAAAATCGCCAATGGACGCAATGGGTGAGGGAAGGCCGTTCCAATCACGAGATGTTTTTGGGATGAAAGATTTGAAAAAAGAATTTGAAATGGAAGTGGGTATACCAACTTTGCAGCAGTGATCGAGGCGAGAGGATACGTAGATGGGAGCACTGATTAGTTGTTCTTTCAAGAGTGAATTGGCATAGTAAATTTTATGGAATAAACAGAGACGGGAGATAGTGCGACGAGTGGAAAGAGGGGGCAGTGAGAGACTAGCTTTCATGGATGTGACGCTTGATGTACGATGGTAGTTTGATAATATAAAACGTGCTGACCGGTTTTGGATGGCTTCAAGCGCTGATATGAGGCTTTCTGTACCGGGATCCCAGACCGAGCATGCATATTCAAGTTTTGGTGGCACCAGTGTTTTATAAAGTAGTAATTTTAATGATGATAGAGCTAGAGAAAAGTTACGTCTTAAATATCCAAGCATGCGGTTACTGTTATTAACGATATATTCGGTGTGAGTTTTCCATGATAGGTCAGAAGAGATATGAACACCTAGATTTTTGTAAGTTGATACGTTTTCAAGGATGTTATTTGATAGGAAGTAGTTAGGACAGAGTGCTGCTTTGCGAGAAATCCTCATTGTCTTACACTTCATAGTGTTTAGTTTCATGTACCAAGCATCACACCAGGAAAAAATTGCATTTAAATCAGATTTAATTATGTGCACGTCAGAGTCATTAGTAATTTCACGGTAAACTACGCAATCATCCGCAAATACGCTTATGGAGGAGGAAATGCTAGTAGGTAGGTCCTTTATATATACTAAGAATAAGAGGGGGCCTAGGACAGAACCCTGTGGTACACCGGACTTAACGAGGGACGATGACGAGTTTTTGTTATTGACAGTTACAAATTGCGATCTGTTAGTGAGGAAACACTCTAACCAAGATAAGATATATGGATCAATACTGAGTAGGCTAAGCTTGTATAGTAGTAGTTTATGTGTTACCTTATCGAAAGCCTTTGCAAAGTCCAGAAAGATGCAGTCAGTCTGAGATCCACGGTCCAGAGCCGAGTGGAGGTTGTGGGTGAAAACTAAAAGCTGAGTATCGCACGAGAAAGATTTGCGGAATCCATGTTGAAAAGGGCTAAAGAAGGAGTTGCACTCCAGAGTAGCTTCGAGGGCGCAATAATTTCACTTGTTTTTCGCAAGGTAATGACGTCACGAGTGGGAACTATAGGAGGGCGCCACCAAAACGTCTCGCTGCTAATAGTGCCAGTATATGCCTTTGGAAAGTGGAAATATTTTGGCCCAGTTACCATAACAGACACCCAACGAATTCGCAGATGGATATTCGCTGATAACATGAGCTGAGAAGCAAATTCGAAAAAAAAAACACTCGTAGCATTTTTCAACAGATATGTATTTAAATATATAAATATAACATTAACATCAGGAAATTTTCTTCGTAGTTCAACAATTAAAACGAACTATAACCAAGTGCACGAGATAGCTGGCGTACTCGGAATATCACGCAGCATTTCTTTCGTGCCCCGAAGGCGTGCTCCAGCGCGGCCTGGCGCATCAGCCTTTAACGTCGAACACCTTCACAAAAGAGGCGATCACGTAGAGGCAGTACGCGTTCAGTTCGTCAAGCTGCGCGGTGAGCGCCGTCTTCCTGTGCGGCCTCAGGCAAACATGCTCGCCCTTGACCACTCCGGTGATCACGAAGTAGTTCTCCAGGATGTAGGTGTCCGCTTCTCAAACGGGCGAATCAGCGGACGACGCTGGCAACCCTTCGGGACGGAGAGAAAGTTCGTGCGCGAAGTACTCGCTCCGCCGATATAGCTGGAAGGCTGCCGCAGAGCTCTTGTCTGTCGCAATCTTAAGGACGAACTGGAGTGCGCGGCTCAGGAGGACGCAGTTCCTTCGCAGACATTGGCTGACCCTGAATCCAGCAACGCTAGACGCGGGATAGCAAACGGACAGCTTCTGAAGAACTTGGTTGGAGGTCAGGCCACCCGCCAGGGTTACAAGGCCGAGTTCGTCAAGGGGAGCATCGTTTAGGATCAAAGCGCTGAGCGTGCTGTTCTCCACAAGCATCCTGGCAATCGTTCTGCAGAGGCTGACACCGAGTTTGTTAGAACCAAGGCGGAACCTCCAGATGCTGGAGTTGGACGCCAGGCCGCACGCGAGCCACATCAGGGACGTGTTGCGAACCTTGTCCGAGACGGTTACCGAGCGGATGGTTGTCGTGACGCGAGGCAGGTTCGCCAAGGCCGTGAGACTCCTCAAGCTCAGGACGCTGTCGATTTCGAATGTTCGCACCGATCGGTTGGAGGCCAGGGCGCCGAACAGAAGACTCGTGTCGAGTGCGTTGGTCTGGATAGAAAGGTCTCGAAGCGTTTTGTGGCATCGCAGCTTCTGCGAGAGTGTCTGCATCGAGCAGGGGTACAGCACGGACAATTTGATGCCTTTGAGTGATCGGTTGAGCGACAAGGCTTCGACGAATTCGTTGAATGGCGCCGCTGACCTGGGACAGCAACCTGGCGTGGCATGAAAGGGCTTCAGCGTCTTGTGGGAGGCGACGAGGCGCCCAAACGCCACAACCGCTTCTTTAGTGAACAGGTTTCCGTCAATTGAGAGCTCCAGAAGCGTCCGGTTGTTCGTGAGTGAATCAGCGATTGCCACTATACCGTCGCTGCGGATGAAACTTCTGCTTATGTCGAGTGTCCGAAGCGTCTTGTTAGACTGGAGCATCCGAGCGAGGAAAACGGCACCGCTGTTATCCAGGTGGTTGCATTGACGATCGAGGTAGGTCAAGGTGGTGTTCAGTTCAAGGGACGAGGCGATGGCTTGAGCACCTGTGGGACCGATGGAGTTCCCGCCTATCATGAGGAACTCGAGTGTGCTGTTCGCCGCGAGGGCATGACCAATGGCAATAGCGCCCTTGTCATTTGTCTTCGTCTTGAACAGGCTCGCACTCAGCAACGTCTTGTTGGTCCTCAGCAACTTGGCGAAGCGCTGCGCTCCTCGCACGCCGACCATAATGGAATCGAGCTTCAGGCATTTGATGGTCTTGGAAGTCTTGACGGCCTTGAGCAAAGCAAGGCTGTCATGGCCCCTCAGCCGATTGTCGGAAAGATCGAGGTCTGTGAGTCGCGTGTTTGCTCGATCAATGCTCTGAACCAACGCCGTCATTTCGGTGGCACCGAAACAAACGCGGCGGAGTTTCATTCGGGTGGGATCTCCTCGGAGCATGACGCGAACAAGCTGACTGGGTTGGGGCTTATTCATTCGATGTCCGTCAAGGGCGATTTGCGAGATGCCAGCGGTGGGGTGGACCTGACTCAGCAGTTGGCTCTCTTCGTCGAACAGTTCACCCGTGTAGCTGAGCTCGACTTGCTGAACACAGCGGTGATGGTTTAGCAGCCGCTTCATCAGAAAAACGGAGAGGACATGATACTCCGACGCGCTTGGGTTGCAGTTGACGAACGTTCGAAGCGTCAGTTTGCCCGAACCATTTTCTAGAAGTTCGATGCCGACAGGGTGCAGGAGACTTCCACTCGCCAAGGCTCTTGGCGATCCAGCAGCGCTCTTGCCGATATCCCACGGTCGACGCAGACGTAAAACTCTGAGTATTTGTGCATTTACGTCCAGGAACCGTTCCCTGAAGTATGACTCCAAGTCGGGGATGCTTGTGGGTCTCCGCTAATCTTGTAGGGTCGACGAACGTTTACGCTTTCGAGGCGGTGGCATGTCTCGCGACATTCGTGCTGGCATTCTGAGTTCGGAAACCACGCCAAGACACGAAGGTTGTGGAATTTGGCTCACTGCTTGGTCGAATGGGGAGGACCCAAGTCCTTGTGTCACCGATGTTGTAAGCCAACGTTGGTGTAAGGCGATGTTGGGCTGCTTGCCCCTCAGCGGCTGTACAGTACCGTTCCAGGCTCGTTCAGTCCCGCGCTCACGCCCGGTCGTCCTGCTTCCCCCACGCGACCGCTCTTCGTCGTTTTTATGGTTCTAAATTGAAAGCTCGCGAACAACGTTTGCTGTAGAACTACAGTGTTCAAGAGGGCGTAGTGGCAAGAGCGGCGCCCGCTTACAATGAAGCGCGTGGAGACGGTCGATGTAGATACCGCGAGTGGCGCTGGAGTTCTGTGCCCTAGGAGAATTAATGGCCCGTGTGCGATGAACGAAGAAGACGACGAGGGTGACGCGGTACGCTACTCCGAAATGTAGCACCGTAGAACTTCTTTCGCAGCTATTAAGCCTGCAGCCCAAGTGATAGCGTTGCTGAACGATGTGTCAGTACCGGGGGGGGGGGGGGAGTCGATATTAATTAAATAATCTCCCTCAAAACACGGGAATATTTCAAGTAGAGGATAGCACACACTCTAGAGGCATTAGTCCAAAGGCAGAACCACAATTTACTATACTTCGTTTCGCCTTATGTTGTACCGCAGCGAAGGCTGGAAGCGCGAGCTCATAGCGTTGGCAGCTGCTCTTAATTCACGAGAGCGTTTGCCGCCGAGATGTGCCCCAGAGCAAAAAGCTCGCGCTTGTAGCCTTTCCTGCGGTACATCATAAGGTGAAACAGAGTATACAGAACAACATTAGCAGTTGTTTTGCACAGCGAAAACCTCCAGTCAAACCACAGTAGTAAGCGCCGAACAGCGCTGATGATGGGGCTGACAGGGGCGCGCTCCTAGGGCACAGAACAGCAGCGCCATGGTGTCGTCTACGCGCAAAATCTTCACAAAGCGGCCGCCGCTCTTGCCACTACAACCCCCTCTAGAACACTGTAGTAGAACTCAAGAATGCAGGGTTGGCAGCACATTGACACTTTAAACCCATGCTGTTGTAAAAAAAAAAAAAAAACTATCTTTAAACTCCGGTCTAAAAACTCTTTTTTATTCTCCAGCGTCAAATTATGAGGCGCTGGAGAATTGCAGCATTCTGCGTTAAGTACTTATTTCGAACTCGTTTTGTTCGCCTTCCGCACATTGAAAAGCACACGGGAAGGGCCTTAGAACGCACCTGGTATCGCTGCGCCGCAGCGTTCGTCCGGAACATAAAGTTCGTCTGCTTTCCTCGCCGGCACTAGAGCGTACTAGAAGGACCGAGTGGGGCGACCGGAGTGCTATTTAGGTACCTCCGCATGTGGAAAAAACCGGCTAATTCAAGCCACTTCGCTCGTAGCGCCCTCTCGGGCACTACGAGCGGAGCGGTTCGGATTATCCGGTATTTATAAGAACGCGTTGCGTTCTAACGCCAAGATCGTTCTGCAAGTGGCGGCGCCGAAAAAATGCTTCGGTCGTCTCACTCAGTCCTTTCTAGTACACTCTACGAAGGTGGCGCTGCGATCAAAGTGAGGTGCAAATGAGAGCATGAGTGGAGCCTGTAGCTAGTCCCACTCGTTCCTTCTAGTACACTCTACCGGCACCCTGGCAACGAACGCCGAATGAATGGAAGCACGCACGGTACCGCCGCGTGAAGCCAGCAATAGCTGGCGCCATTTTACGAACGCCGTCTGCTAGCCAAAGCCGAACGCGGTGTGTCAGATCAACCGCCTCCGCCGGTGCGCCGCCAGCGGAGACGACGAAGCTGATACACGCCGAAGGCGATTGAGCAAGCAACAGCACCGCGAGACGACTACAACGGGGGCATTTATTAGGATCAAAGGCGCGAGATAAGCAAGAACATATTTCATTTAAATCATTACACGCGATATCCAAGTTGGGGACCACATACCTTGGCTGGGTTTTTCCTGTGAATTTTTTAGAGACACGGGGTGCCGCATTCGGAAAACAGCTCCATTTGCATAATATTGGGCCCTTAAAAGGGCCGTTTAGGCCGCTACCAGAACCTATAACTGACGTAACGAGCACTTGACAAGCGGTTAGCGTATAAGTAGTCTTTATGCACGCAGGCGGGCGACGGGCGCAGCGCAGCGGATCACTCGAAGTCACCGGAGCCGTCAGAATCCTCGTCCTCCGCACTATAGAGAAGGTACCTGTCTGCGTCGGGGCTCTAGATTTTGGCGGCCGCGGCGACGAACGACTGGAATCTATCAGTGTTTCCGCGCGCCTTCTTTCTCCTCCAAAACATGAACTTTGCACGGTGACCAGTAAAATGGTGGCTCTCGCGCCGTCCAGATGGAAGAGAGTTTTTGACGTGCGCCCAGGTGCCCTCTACCGTATAGGTGTGCGCACCAGTGTTCGGGGCGACAAAATGGAGCTTGTGGTTGACGGTGAGGTACGTGAAGCGAGCGCCATCTGCAAGCTTGCGATAGCCAGCCCAACAGTCAGTAATTATTCTTGTTCCAGGGCGGACCCACTAGGCTATTAGCCCTTGCAGGTTTTAGCGTCACGGGTCTCCACGGGAACAAGAAAGCGGCACCCGCTGCCACGCTCCACACCGCCAAAAACCCACTGGCCAGGCATTAAATACCCACGTACGATGGTACTTTCGCTGACCAAACACTCTCGTCTAGTTCTAATGTCACGACTCCGCCACGAATCAAGTCTGAATGCTTGAAGACGGCATTTACCGCAACCTCCCTCCCGACAAATACTCGTCCAATCAGTTATTGTCTTACTTGCGACATCAGTCTCCCGCTGAATGACGGCGCCCGGTAGGCTCTGGCACCGGAGGATGATTTTCATGAGTTGGAGAAGCGTCAGGTGCGATCCTTCAAAAGAGGAACCGTTCCATACTGAGACCTCACCCCGGCACTGAACTTTGACCGGTTTCCTCTTGGACACCTCACGAGTCATCCACACACCGCACCACCCGGAGTAGCCTTCCGCAGATCTAGCGTGGACTTGCAGCATGTCGTCGGAGCTTCGCACTCTGGACACGCACGAAAACCCAGGAGCCAGGAGCAGACCCATGCGCTGAAGCAAATTAATTGCTTCAAGAGGGTCTTTCATGGCGTCATGAAGACGGCACAGGTTAAACACCATGGCACTGCGATGCTCGCCTCTGGAAGAATAAAGCGCCCAGGGCAACACAAGTATAGCTGCGCTCCTTTACATTTATTATTTTTATTTGATTCGCCATTTTATACCTCGTGACACCATTCTAACAAACTGATTGGTTGAACTGTCGGATCCCACCATTGCGTGACAAAACAAACGCCAAACGTATGTCCACAGACGGCATCGTCACAGAGAAGGGGGCAGTCGAACCCAACAAGAAAATGAAGTAACAAAGTGAATAAAAAGGCAAAAAAATAAGGGAGCCGTTGGATTTTCGGACGTCGTCTTCTTTGATGAGAAAAGGAGCGGCCGTGCTGCTCTGGCTGCTCGGAATGTTCCTTGATTTTTTTTTACCCTAGAGGGTGCTACGACGCTTATTTGAAGCTGATTTGTTAATTTAAAGGGGCCATGAAAACGAATTTTGGTCTGGGATAAATTATTTTAAATTGGGACTTTACTAATCGCACATCGTTTAGTTGGCCAAAAGGAAGAGGGTAGAAAGTCAAAAGCCAACTTTTCGTTAAGAACATTTGAAAACATAGCGGACTATTTTGTTCCTTCTTTCCTTCGAAAGCTCTCCGCCTTTTCACTATGATACATCCGCGGTTCCCAAAGCGCGTCAGCGGTGCCAACTTGACGTCAGCCAAGCCCAGCTCACGCATTGGACACGACAACTGCGTCACTCGGACGTTTGCGCTCGTCGACAATCAATCCGTCGTGACGAATATTCGTATTCGCGTTTGTGACCAATGAGTGCCCTGACGGAACTTATCGTCACTGGGGAATGACAAGTTCTATGGTGTGCAGAAAAAGCACGGTGGAAGCTAGGAGTCATCGCATCAGTGCCGAAGAATGTCACGACGACGTGATTTCACAATTCACATTTGAGTTGAGGATTAAAGCTAAGGAGAAACAAGTAGGAAAATCGTTTCATGACCCCTTTAACGACGGTGGTCGATACCAAACACCTATAATAAACCTTTTGGAACATACTCGGAACTTTATACGCACGAGTTCAAAATTACTTACGACTTCTACAGAAGACGAACAAAGGTTATCGGCCACGGCAATCAAAACATCACCACCGCACCTCTGCCCTCTATCATACCGAAAAACACTGAAACGCTTGCCGCATTCAAAAACGTAATTATTTCCAACCTTTGCGGAAAGCCATGTTTCAGTTAGTATCTACCACCTCAGCATCGCATGAGTCAACGACCGAGTTCTATTAATAAAGTTTAGATGAAACACTCCTTATATTAGTGAACAGAAAATAAAGTTTATTTATGCTATCGGAAGCCAGTACACGGCCCCTCGCCTGATGGTATCGCGAAGCGCTTGCCTGTATTGATTCGTCTTCATTGTTCGGTCGTTGACTCTGGGGTTGCTGTCCAGAGTGCGTGGCAAGTTCAAAGAGATTTTCATATACATAGTTGTAACCACAACACTAGCTGTTAA